TCTGGACCAAACGGAGACCTTTTCCGAGCTGTATTGACAAAGAACGCTGCCTGTTTTCTGGTGTTGTTTGTTGATTATTTTACTCCTGGGCTTCTTTGATGGTTTTAGAGCTTTGGTTTGAATTGTTTCATTTGATTTTAATTGCACGTTGCTTTGGAGCACCTTTGTGTACGGAAATGGCTGATCAGGTTATATTGTTCAATAAAAGTTAAAACAAAAAAAAATGGTTGATCAGTAACCAAAATATTTTTTTTTAAAAATCACAGCCTAAATAGTACAGAGAGTACTTTCGCATCGCCCTAGTGCTATCTCGCCTCATGCCTCTATGCAGCCTTTGATGTATGGATAGAAGGGAGGAGCCAGGATTATACCTGCAGGGCCCACTCATATCCTCCAATCATTTGGGGAGCCATCTGTACAGGGACCAAAGTGCACACCCCCAGTGTGCTTTGAAGAGTGAAGTCAGCCAATCCTGACCCCGCCAGACAGACCACATAGGACTTCAGCTGCAAGCCATGATAGGCTGAGAAATCAAGTAAGAACATAAGAACATAAGAACATAAGAGATGCCAATGTTGGATCAGGCCAAAGGCCCATCCAGTCCAACACTCTGTATCACACAGTGGCCAGAAATACCAGTGCCATCAGGAGATCCACCAGTGGGGCCAGGAGACTGGAAGCCCTCCCACTGTTGCCCCCCCCCCAAGCATCAAGATGACAGAGCATCCCTTACCCCAGAGTCCCTATCTATACCTTGTGGCTAATAGCCACTGATGGACCTCTGCTCCATATGCTTATCTAATCCCCTTTTGAAGCCGCCCATGCTTGTAGCCGCTACCACCTCCTGTGGCAGTGAATTCCAAGTGTTAATCACTCTTTGGGTGAAGAAGTACTTCCTCTTATCCGTTCTAACCCGACCGCTCAGCAAATTCATGGAGTGCCCACGAGTTCTTGTATTGTGAGAAAGGGAGAAAAGCACCTCTTTCTCTACCTGCTCTTTCCCATGCATCTTTCCCATGATGTAGATGAGCAAGCCTGATAAATAGCAACAGCTGTTCACAATCTGCACTTTAACTCCATGGTTTGGAGAGGCACTGAGAGATCAGCCCCATGAATCGACAGTTATGATGGCTGCTCTAAATGCTTTACTCTAGCTTAATGAACCCAGAATAACAGCTAGGTATGGGCACGAATCCAAAAAATGCGGTTCGTGGTTCGGCCATGAACCAGGAGGTCTGTTCACGAACCAAAGTGGTTCCTGGTTCGTGGCCCCACAACCCCATCGAAAGGGACCACCGTCCCTTTAAATGGGGTTTGCAGAAAGCCCGGAAAAGTGTTGAGCTTCAGCTGCAAGCCATGATGGGTTGAGAAATCAAGTGATGTAGATGAGCAAGCCTGATAGATAAGCAACAGCTAGTTACACTTTGAACTTTAACTTGATTGTTTGGAGATAAGCTGTGAATCGGCATTGATGGTGGCCGCTCAGCTGTTTCGGGCTGTCTTGTGCAGTCCCTTTAAAGTTTAAATGGAGTGCAGAAGAAAGCCTGAAAAACAGCTGAGCAGCAGAGAGCGCCTGCTCCCCACCACACAGCTGTTTCAGGCTATTTTGTGCAGTTGCCATAAACTTTAAAGGGACTCTACAAGACAGCCTGAAACAGCTGAGTCCCAAATATACAAATTCCACTAGTAGAAAACACCATCAAAGATTGCCAAAACAATATATTAAACAATTATAAAGTTGGCGGTGTCACAACAACGACATTAATGCATACTGTAACTATAATAAGGCACAAGATACAATATTTCCTCCTTTGAAGAACCTATAATTCACTCCTTACATTATGAACCTTGTGGTCTGTTGAAATTGCTGAAATCGGGTTCCACTTACACAGCCAGCAAACTGAAGAAGTCGAAGGAAATGCATCTTCCAAATATCTAGAATGGGCGTCTTTGCAAAGGCTGTTTGGAATATGTTATTATGACTATGTGGACTCCTCCTATCAAGTTACCAAGTTACACTGAGTACATGGACTTTATGTCTTATCTCCAAAGGAGGATAGTGTTCTCTACTAGTGTAATTTGTATATTTGGGACTTCTGTGACAATAGTCTTTTCCCCTTGTTTGGATTTGAAACAGCTGAGTGGCAGGGAACAGGCGGCTCCTGCTGCTCAGCTGTTTTTGCAGCTTTCACAGGGAACAGAAAGCAGGGCTTTAAAGGGAATCGGGGTTCCTTTAAGCCCCTGCTTTCTGCTCTAACCATGAACTGCTTAAAAAGTTTGTGGAAGTTCTTGAACCATGAACAGGGCAAAATTCGTGATGAATTTTGCTTCGTGGTTCGGTTTGAACCCATCCCTAACAACAGCTTCTTTTTCGGTTCATCGCTCACGATAATGACCATAGACTCCGCAAGCAATCAAATATGAAATGAAGAGGTGATAAAGATCAATGGACGGGACTGTGGCTTGGTGGTAGAGCACGCCTGCTTTGCACGCAGAAGATCCCAGGGTCAATATCCAGCATCTCTGCTTTAAAAAAGGTTAGGTAATGGGTGATACCTGAGAACCCTGAAGCGTGGCTCTCGGTCAGAGTAGACAAGGCTGACCTTAAGAGACCCAGGGTCTGACTCAGCAGAAGGCAGATTTTATGAGTTCCTTTGGCGGTTCGAGGACACATGGGCTGAGACCATAAAGGGAAGAGTGACTCAGCAGCTGAGCATATATTAGGGCTGCCAAGCCGCGGCGGGGGATCCGTGCATCTTCACAGGATCCCTGCCGCGGGGGACAGCGATACGCATTGCACCGCCGTCGCCAGGATGTGATGCTACGCGTCACTCTGGCAACGGGGCTGTTTGGAGTCCCGTTGCCAGAGCAACACGTTGCGTCACATCCTGGCGACGGTGGTGCAACGCGTATCGCTGTCTCCCACGGCAGGGATCCTGTGAAGACACATGGATCCCCCGCCGTGGCTTGGCAGCCCTAGCATATAGAAGGTTTCAGGTTCAACCCCTGGCATCTCAAGTGGCGAGAAAGCCCACATCAGAACGCACCATGTTGGGCTGGGTGGCTGACTACTCTGACTTGACATTAGGCAGCTTCATGTGTGTGTATGTATAGTTTATTATGGCATCAACCCAGTAAATCCACAAAATCACACGGACGTTAGAAAACATTCTGACTACAGCAATAAAACAACTAGAATAAATACAAAAAATGTATGAAAAATACGTTAAAATAAAGTAACAACAAATAGATATTACATAAAATATAGGTCAGCAGATGGGCTTAGAACTAAAACGTGATTCAGCGGGCTTTTCGAATACAGCAGCAAGCGGCACAGAATTTGGCAACAGCTTTACGGCAGCTCAAGGAGAAAGATCAGCTAATGTGATAATCGAGTTCTTGTATACAGGGGGGGGGGCGCACTTTGTTCCGGCAGCCCTAAAATTGTTCCAAGCGAAAGTAATACCCCAAATGTCTTATGGCACTTCCCTTGGCTCTCCACCTTCCTCTTATGACCCCCTTGAGAGGGTCCAGTCCAAATTTCTAAGGGTGGTCCTTCAGGTCCCAAGGGAGGTGCCTAATGCCTTTATCCATATAGAAACTGGCAGGGCTCTTTTTGTAGAGAAAGCCCAGTAGTAACTCATTAGCATAATAGGCCACACCCAACAGCAGAAACATATTAGCATATTAGGCCACACCCCTGACAGCACAGCTCATTAGCACATTAGGCCGCACCCTCATGTTACCAGAAGTGTGGTCATCCAGCCACACCCACCTTTTGCTTCTTATTCTGTTTACCTTGTTTGTTGTCAAAACGGTCCAGGGCTTTTTTTGTAGCAGGAACTCCTTTGCATGTTAGGCCACACACCCCTAATGTAGCCAATCCTAATGAGTTTCTGCTGTTGGGTGTGGCCTATTATGCTAATGAGTTCCTGCTGGGCGTGGCCAACTTGGGAGACAGCCGGAACTCCGTTCCTGTGCGTTCCTGCCCAAAAATAGCCCTGGAAACTAGGATGATGACAATGGTAGCCAAACTTACTCTAGCTTCACTTAGGTATTGGCTTAGCGTCAGTTTTCACCCTCAGGGCCTACTTCACACGGTACTCACAGACAACTTCCAGTCAAATTGGCTGAAAGCTGTCCATAACAAGCTGCATCTTCTCTGTGGCTTCATGTGTTCCAATAAGCTGCAACCTCCCATTCAGATCTCAGCCAAGAACCCATTGGATGGCCTTGGGAATCCCCCCCTCTCACCCTAAGCCCCTCTACTCGGTATGACTCACCTCACAGGCTGTTGCAAGGAATTGCTTTGAGCACTTAGGACCCAGCAGTTCCTCTGTAGTGACTCACCCAGTTGGCAACAGAGGCATTAGGGCCACAAGCCTGGTGCATGATGGGGGAACCTGTGATCAGATCCCTGCTGCACAACCAAGTTCAGCGCATGGCCTTGAGGAAGTCCCCGTGTTTCAGAGGAACATACCTCACTGAATTCCTGAGAGTATAAACATGTGGATCTGACGCCCTCTGGGTAAGAGTGAGATGGAATGTGATACGTGTATGTTTCTGCATATGTGTATTCGTTTGGCAACATATAAGAAGAGTATAGGCTTTGGAAAACCATCTTCCGCCAGGCATCTTGCTAAGCTAAGCCTGTGACGAAGGAGTCCTGCAAGGACCCGTTCCATCCTAGGCTCACCTAAGAAGAGTTCTTGAGATTTTCTGTGTTCCTTTTTTTTTTTCTTGTAGTGGTTAAGTGCGCGGACTCTAATCTAAGAGAACCGGGTTTGATTCCCCACTCCTCCACTCGCAGCTGCTGGATGATCTTGGGCAAGCCATAGTTCTGTCAGAGCTGTTCTCTCAAGGGCAGTTCTGGAAAGAGCTCTCTCAGCCCCACAGGGTGTCTGTTGTGGGGAGGGGAAGGGAGAGAAGTTTGTAAGCCGCTCTGAGGCTCCGAGTGAAGGACGAGGCATAAATCCAATCTCTACTCTTCTTCTTTTTAGAAAGCTGATTTGGCGGTGGCCGGACTGACAATTACTGCTGAGCGGGAGAAGGTGATCGATTTCTCAAAGCCATTCATGACCCTGGGGATCAGCATTCTCTACCGAGTTAACATGGTAAGAGGCATCATTTAGATAACCTCTTATTTCAGGGGTCCCCACCGTGGTATCCGTGGGCGCCCTGGCATCTACCGACACCTCTCCTGGCACCCCGCAAGTGGTTTTAGAAAGTGGGCGGGGCTTCATCCCAGCAGGCCTTCTGATTGGCTGTGCAGATTAAAAGGTGTCCTGTTAAACAGGGCATCTGCCTGAAACGTCGAAGAATTACTATTAGAGTTGTGTATGACCTCAATCCCTGACATTTTGTGGTTGGCCCCACCTCCTGTGGCAGCCATTTTGTTATCGGCGCTGCTTCCTGTGGTGGCCATTTTGTGATTGCACCCACTGCTCTTTGTCAGGATTCCAGAGGGGAAGGTCCAGGGGAGATGCCGGGGACTGAACCTGGGACCTTCCGCATGAAAAACATTCACTTCCCATTGACTTATTAGAAGAAGAAGAGGAGGAGGAAGAAGAAGAAGAGGAGGAGGAGGAGATTTGATTTATACACCGCCCTTCACTAACCAGAGATGTCTCAGAGCGGCGTACAAACTCCTTTCCCTTCCTCTCCCCACAACAGACACCCTGTGAGGTAGAGGTGGGGCTGAGAGAGCTCTGACAGAAACGGCTCTTTTTCAAGAACAGCTCTTATCAGAACTACGGCTTGCCCAAGGTCATCCGGCCAGGTGCAAGTGGAGGAGTGGGGAATCAAACTGCGCACTCAACCACTACACCACTACACTATAACCCCTCGCCCACGCTCTAGCGCTTTGGTTAAGAAAGACAAGCAGTGAGGATGAGGTAAAATCCGTGGGCTGAGGCATCTGCTGGCCTACATCTCAGGGGCGAAGTCCACAGGAGCAGGTTGGGAAGCAGGAAAGGGAAATGGCAGAGCAAGGTCAGTTGGCAAGCGCTGAGTCCGCCGCGGACTACAGCCACGCCCGACGAGCCGCTCTCCCTCCCTCGAAATCCCTCTGCGGTATCAGATGGGCATAGTATTCTTGTCAGACACAAAATGTTTTGATACTAATCCTATCTTCACCCCTAAACGGAGTTGCGCTTAGGTGAGAAAGATGCCAGGACACCTCTTGCTCTGAATTATTGCATCAAAATGTCTGTGCTGTTGCAATCTTGAGTATGCTGTTGAGGTGTGTATCTGTAAGCTGCAAACGTACAATGATGCAGCAGCGCCAGAACTGGAAGAAGAAGCAGAAGACAGCCAGTTCCACTGTGGGCCTGATAAAAGCCCTACAGGGGCCTTACCCGGCCCCCGGGCCACATGTTTGACACCCCTGGGTCCAACTTCTTCTCCTTCTCCTTCCTGGAGCACCTAGGATCTTTTTCATACCAAGCAGTTTGGTGTAGTGATCAAGTGCATGGACTCTAATCTGGGAGAACCAGGTTTGATTCCCCACTCCGCCACTTGCACCTGCTGGATGACCTTGGGCAAGCCGCAGCTCTGATAAGAGCTGTCCTTGCAAAAGAGCAGTTTCTGTCAGAGCTCTCTCAGCCCCACCTCTACCTCACAGGGTGTCTGTTGTGGGGAGGGGAAGGGAAAGGAGATTGTAAGCCGCTCTGAGACTCCTTAGGGTAGTGAAGGGCAGGGTATAACCCCAATTTCTTCTTCTTCTTCTTCTTCTTCTTCTTCTTCTTCTTCTTCTTCTTCTTCTGTGTTTCTGTGTCAGGAACGACTGCACCTGTTGCGTATCTGTCTGCCACGCACCCATTAACAGGACAGAGTTTGTGTCAGGGAGAAGTGGCGACCTTCCCTTGCCCAGAAAAGATGGTGACTAGGAGATAGGGGGCCTGCAGAACAGAGAGCCCACCTGCACCGTTCAATTTGCTTACGGATTAGAAGAAAACAGGTGGGAACATAGTTGGAGAATTCTCAGGAGCCGGAGGGGTGACAGGCAGCCAGTGTTCCCTCTAAGCTGAGTGAGTGTGAGCTAGCTCACAGCTTTATAGCCTCCGGCTCACACATTTTTGTCTTCGCTCAGGAAAGAGGGCTCCAATTGATGCAGCAGCCAAATGGCTCGCTCACAACTTTAATGCCAGTCACTCACGAAGTACCATTTTTGCTCACAAGACTCCACAGCTTAGAGGGAGCCTTGGGATGGCCCAGGCTAGCTAGCGTGATCTCGTCAGATCCTGGAAGCTAAGCAGGGTTGGTCCTGGTTAGCGTTTGGATGGGAGACCACCAAGGAAGTCCAGAGTCACTGCTCAGAGGCAGACAATGGCAAACCACTTCTGTTTTGATAGGTTTACATGTTAAGAGGAGGGAACTATCTGGGATTTCGTTCTGTTGGTTCCAATTGAAATGTTTTAATGGTCACTTAATTCACTGGCTTTCGAGCAAGGGAACCCTTACCTTTACCTTTTTAAGTGTAACTTATCGGCTGCCTGGAGCCATAAGGAAAGGTGGGATATAAATATTTAAATGAATAAAATCAGATGGAGTGAGCGCCCGTCTCTGGTTCCAGCTCCTGCCAACCTAGCAGTTCGAAAGCAAGAAATTGCAAGTAGATAAATAGGTACCACTTCGGTGGGAAGGTCACAGCGTTCCGTGCACCTTGGTGTTTAGTCATGCCGGCCACATAACCACGGAAACGTCTTCGGACAGCACTGGCTCTTCGGCATTGAAACAGAGATGAGCACCGCACCCCTGCAGTCGGATTCGACTGGCTTTCAAGCAAGGGAACCTTTACCTTTACTGTATAGGCTGCCTGGAGCCATAAGGAAAGGTGCGATATAAATATTTCAATGAATAAAAATCAGATTTGTTAGCTGTTTTCAGGACCCAGATGACGTTCGTTCATTCGTTCGTTCTTTCTTTCTTTCTTTCTTGCCTGGAGCCATAAGGAAAGGTGGGATATAAATATTTAAATGAATAAAATCAGATGGAGTGAGCGCCCGTCTCTGGTTCCAGCTCCTGCCAACCTAGCAGTTCGAAAGCAAGAAATTGCAAGTAGATAAATAGGTACCACTTCGGTGGGAAGGTCACAGCGTTCCGTGCACCTTGGTGTTTAGTCATGCCGGCCACATAACCACGGAAACGTCTTCGGACAGCACTGGCTCTTCGGCATTGAAACAGAGATGAGCACCGCACCCCTGCAGTCGGATTCGACTGGCTTTCAAGCAAGGGAACCTTTACCTTTACTGTATAGGCTGCCTGGAGCCATAAGGAAAGGTGCGATATAAATATTTCAATGAATAAAAATCAGATTTGTTAGCTGTTTTCAGGACCCAGATGACGTTCGTTCATTCGTTCGTTCTTTCTTTCTTTCTTTCTTTCTTTCTTTTTTTTGCCGTCAACTCACAGTTGACTTATGGCGACCCCGTAGGGCTTTCAAGGCAAGAGACATTCAGAGGTGGTTTGCCATTGCCTGCCTCTGTGTAGCAACCCTGGGCTTCCTTGGTGGTCTCTCATCCAAATCCTAACCGAGGCCAACCCTGCTTAGCTTCCGAGATCCAATGATCTAATGATAGCCTGGGCTATCCAGTTGACATGCAAGCATCCTAAATGAAGAAACGGCATGATCCAGTCACAGGTGCCTTTTCCGTTTCTGCTGATCCAGTCACTGAGTTTAACTAAGAGCACCAGGAAGCAAAGTTTTTGTTGGGTATTACAAGTTGAAAACACTCAGTATATCTGGGGTTAAATGTTTGTTTATGTTACTCACAGGAAGTGACATGTTTCTCATGTAACCAATGTTCTTTAGCTGTAAGAAGCCCGGGAATTTTCTCCCTGATCTAGGAGTTTGATTGGGACGAATGTGTCAAAGTGTTTTAGCATTTTATGGCTCCTCTTCCCGTCTTTCTCTGCTGTTCTCAAGAAGAAGTAAGAGTAGCCATAATCTCTCTCTTCTAGTTTTGTCTTTGTAGTGTAAGGATGTAGCCGTTTAGCTCTGTTGTTATTTTCATCCCAGTTACCCTCCCCCATGCTAGAATTTAGTAAAAACTTTCTATTTTAATCACATATGGACTCTGAGTCTGAATTATTTTACTCTAGCTCTGCTAAGCTATATTATCTCTGCTAAATAGCAATTTATTCAATATCTCACTATCAAAACCCAACAGGTTTGCTTTGGTTTATTTGCAAATAGGGACTCGGATCTCCAAAGGAGACATTTGTTCAACATCCGGGTCCCTTTTTGCAAACATACCAAAGCCAAAAAAAACCCACACACAAACACACACATAGAAGAAGAAGGAAAAGAGATTGGATTTATAACTCCTCCTTCACTACCCAAGGGAATCTCAGAGCGGCTTACAGACTCCTTTCCCTTCCCCTCCCCACAACAGACACCCTGTGAGGTCGGTGAGGCTGAGAGAGCTCTTGACAGAAACCGCT